AAGAGTGAGTATATGGAGGGAAGGATGGAGGATAATCTGAGGAGGAGAGCTTACTGATGTAGATAGTGGTGAGAGCCTCTGGAAGGGCTAGGTCAGGTCCGGGTGAGCAGGAAGGCTCCAGAAGGAGGAGGGACTGTCGAATATGAGAGGAGGTAGGAGCGGAGGCTTGGTGGGTGCAGGTGAGCGGCTGAGAGTGGGCGGCCAGGGGAGGAGACAGCGTGAGATGAAGTGCAGGAATCCGAGCTGGTATTGAGATGGTGGAGTGTGGAGTGAAACCTGGAGCAGAGCAGAAAAGAGAAGTCAGGGTCTTTTCTGGTTGACAGGAAATCCAACATATAATTCTCAAAAATCTTGGTAACAACAGGAACTAGAAAAACACTGGATCAAAAAACGGGTCAGAGGCTAGAGCTACCCAAAGCTGAGCAATCATCCGGCGTGGTCAAGTGTCACACTGCTCCTTAAATCCCCTGGGCCTTGATGACGGGATCAGCTGCAGCTGGTGGCTCTCAGACACACCCACCTGCAACAATACTCAGAGCAAACAGATTACATGCAGGAGGCTCACCACGGATCGTGACAGTACCCCCCCCCCCCCCCCCCCCTCAACGGACGCCACCCGGTGGCCGAGCAGAGGAGGAGGAGGCGGAGGAGGAGGAAGCCCGAGAGGCCTCAAAGTCACGGATGAGATCCGGATCAGTGATGAAGGAACGAGGCACCCAGGAACGATCCTCCGGTCCATACCCCTCCCAGTCCACCAGGTACTGGAGGCCCCTGCCTCGGGGACGGACATCGAGGAGACGACGGACCGGATAAACCAGGCCACCGCCAACGAGCCGGGCAGGCGGAGGAGGAGCGGGGGCAGGACACAAGGGACTGGACAGCACAGGCTTCACCAGGGAGACGTGGAATACAGGGTGGACCCTCATGGATGGAGGCAGGGCCAGGCGGACAGTGGAGGGACTAATGACCTCAGAGATAGGATAAGGACCAATGAACCGAGGAGCCAACTTCTTGCTGGTTTCCCTCAGCCAGATGTCCCTGGTGGAAAGCCAGACCTTCTGCCCAGGGACATACACAGGAGCGGGTCGTCTGTGGCGATCCGCCAGACGGCGGTTGCGGTCAGCTGTTCGCTGAAGGGCCGCCGTGGTCTGAGCCCAGGTGCGCCTGGCACGGCGAATGAACTGGGGGGCCGTGGTAGGAGGGTCCTGACTGGACGGAAATAGAGGGGGTTGGTAACCTAGAACGGTTTCAAATGGAGACAAAACTGTGGATGCGGAGGTGTGAGCGTTGTGGGCATATTCAACCCAGGGCAGTTGGGAGCTCCATCCAGAGGGGTTGGATGAACACACACATCGTAACATAGCTTCGAGCTCCTGATTCATCCTCTCACATTGCCCGTTTGTTTGAGGATGGAACCCGGAGCTCAGGGCGACACGGGCCCCAAGGTGGTTGGCAAAGTCTCTCCATACACGGGACAGGAATTGAGGGCCACGGTCGGACAGGATCTCTGCTGGAATCCCATGAAGACGGAAGACATGTTTGATTAGAAGACTGGCTGTTTCGGCAGAGGATGGGAGTGACTTGAGAGGAACCAGGTGGCAGGATTTGGAGAAACGATCTACAATAGTGAGAATGACTGAAAAACCGTTAGAGGAGGGCAAACCGGTAACAAAATCCAAAGCTATGTGGGACCATGGGCGAGTGGGCACAGGAAGAGGAGAGAGAAGACCAGCTGGAGGTTGATTGCTGCTTTTGTTTCGGGCACAAATGGAACAGGCACTGATGTACTCACGGACATCCTTATACATGGAGGGCCACCAGAAGGTTCTGCGGATTAACGCCAACGTGCGGCCTACTCCCGGGTGAATAGAGAATTTGGCAGTGTGGGCCCAATGTATCAGGTCACCACGAACACGGACAGGGACATAAATCTTTTGTGGTGGACCAGTACCTGGATCAGGTTCAGTCTGCTGGGCCTCCTGCACCCTCTTTGTGATGTCCCAATCTACAGCGCCCACAATGCAGGATGGTGGCAGAATAGGAGCTGATTCGGGATCCTTGTCGGGTGAGTACAGTCTGGACAGGGCGTCGGGTTTAGTGTTTTTGGAACCGGGTCTGAAAGAGATGAGAAAGTGAAAACGGGAGAAAAACAGGGACCAGCAGGACTGTCGTGGATTCAGTCTCTTTGCCTCCTTTAAGTAAGCCAAGTTTTTATGGTCAGTCCAGATGATTATAGGATGTTCCGCTCCCTCCAGCCAGTTTCGCCACTCCTCCAGGGCCAGTTTAATGGCCAACAGTTCCCGATCCCCGACATCGTAGTTCTTCTCAGCTGGGGAGAGGCGGCGAGAGAAGAAAGCGCATGGGTGGAGACGGTGATCTGTGGGGGAAACCTGTGACAGCACAGCACCAACACCAGAGTCAGACGCGTCAACCTCCAGGGTGAACTGGGCAGAAGTGTCGGGACGGGTCAGGATAGGTGCTTGTGTGAACTTGTTTTTTAGGGCTTGGAAGGACTCTTCAGCAGAGGAGGACCAAATAAAGGGTTTATTTATGGATGTGAGCTGAGTGAGTGGGGCGGCAGTCTGGCTGTAGTCTTTAATGAAGCGGCGATAAAAGTTTGCAAAACCTAGGAAGCGTTGAAGCTGCTTGCGTGTGGTGGGAGTAGGCCAGGAGAGAACTGACTTGATCTTTTCCGGATCTGTCTTCAACCGCCCGCTCTCGAGGATGAAACCGAGGAACTTAACTGAGGAGACGTGAAACTCACATTTTTCTGCCTTCACATAGAGCCGGTTCTCCAGGAGGCGTTGAAGTACGCATCTAACATGCTGTCGGTGTTCTGCAGGGGATCTGGAAAATATCAGAATGTCATCTAAATAGACGGTAACAAACTGGTTGAGGTAGTCGCCAAGAACGGAATTGACCAGGGATTGGAACACTGCGGGGGCATTTGTGAGGCCGAAAGGCATGACTAAGTATTTGTAATGACCCAGAGGAGTTTTGAATGCGGTTTTCCATTCATCGCCCTCCCTGATACGGACGAGATGGTAAGCGTTGCGTAGGTCCAGTTTTGTGAAGATGGTTGCATCTTGGACTGGTTCAAATGTAGATGACAGTAACGGAAGTGGATATTTGTTTTTTATGGTAATTTGGTTGAGCCCTCGGTAATCAATGCATGGTCTGAGTGAGCCATCTTTCTCAGAGACAAAAAAGAAGCCTGCCCCTAATGGTGAAGTGGATGGTCTGATGATACCGGATGCAAGGGATTCGTTTATGTAGGTGGACATACTGAGCTGTTCGGGTTTGGAAAGGCTATACAACCTGCTGGATGGAAGTGTGGCGCCTGGCAGGAGATCGATGGCACAGTCGTAAGGTCGGTGAGGTGGTAGAGAAGAGGCTCGGTCCTTACAGAACACAAGGGAGAGGTCATGATACTCCTCCGGTACTCCTGACAGGTCGGGGAGAACTGGGGAATCGGCTGTTGGTCTGGAAGTTGGTGCTGAACAGATGGGTGAAGCAGAACGAAGGCAATTAGTTAAACAGTGGGAGCTCCAAACAGTAACTTGGGATGTTTTCCAATTTATTTGTGGGTTATGAGCCAGTAACCAATCATATCCAAGGACTACCGGGGAGTGAGGAGAAGGAAAAACAAAAAATGAAATACTCTCCTGGTGGTTGCCTGACACCAGTAAGCTGACTGGCACGGTCTGGTGGGTTATGGTAGTGAGTGTGTTACCATCCAGGGATGATGCTCGTAGAGGAGTCGGAAGGGGAATAGTGGGAATGTCCAGATCTTGAACGACTGATTTGTCCAGCATGTTACGTTCGCACCCAGAATCCAGTAAAGCCTTCAAAACACGACTTCCTTGGTTATACATTACAGTACAGGATAGCATACATCGGGAGTTTGGGCCACCATTACCACCCACCAGTAATCCTGGAACTACTGGTGGGCTTGCCCCTTTTAACCGTAAGCCACAATTTGAGATTCTGTGCCCCGGCTGACCACAATAGAGGCAAAGGTTAGCGGAGAGACGACGTTGTCGCTCCTCCTGGCTTAACTGGGTTCTGCCGATCTGCATAGGCTCCTCCCCAGAAGATGATGCCACTGGTGGCTGAGTAGTTCTGGTCTGAGTCAGTGAAAAATGTGGCTTCCTAGAACCCTTAGAATGCTCCTTGAGGTGTCTTTCGATTCTTATGGTCAGGGCTATAAGGGCTTCTAGGTCGGGAGGCTCCTGACATAATGCCAACTGATCCTGGAGATGGTCATTTAATCCCTGGGTGAATGCTCCCAGTAATGAACCACGATCCAGTGAGGAAGTTGCTGCCAGCGTGCGGAATCCTATTGCGAAATCGGCTACAGTTTGGTTTCCCTGACGGAGATTCCACACCCTTTTGGCTACCTCAGCTGGGGACTCAGAATGATCGAACGTTTGGTTAAATTCTGTCAGGAATTGTGAGAGCGAACCGCGCAGAAAACTGGAGCCATGGCTCCTGGCTTCAGCCCAATCTAAAGCTTTACCACGGAGTAGCCCGATAATATAGGAAATTTTTACTGAGTCTAATGTGAAAGCTTCAGGTGATCTTTCAAAAGCTAACTGGCAGTTAAAGAGAAATCCGCGGCATTTGCCGAACTCACAGGAATAGATGTCTGGAGGGGGAGAGTTGGGTATCCGGAAGTTTACAGCAGGCGGCGGAACCGGAAGTGCGGACGGAAGAGAAACTGGAGGCTGCTGAACTGAAGGTTCCGGGGGGGTTAAGCTAGTTGTGAGATTACGTAAAATAGGTTCCATCTGGAGTAATCGTCGGTGGGAGTCGGAGACTTGCTCCAGTAAGCCATGGATGACGTGTTCATGACGTGCGAGTATCTCAGAAGCAGCAAGCGGAGTGGAAGACGGGTTGGATTCTGCAATGAGGTCAACGTTATGGCCGGATGATTCTGTCATGGCGGGTGAGATTTTCTTGACCCACGACATGCAGAATCATCACAAGAAACCGGCAAGTAAGTAAAACGTTCTTTATTATTAAATCAGAGGAACGGGAACAGGCGACGTGCAGGCTGGCAGCAAGGCTCCAGGAGAGGATTCTGAGGAGGGAGAAAGAGTGAGTATATGGAGGGAAGGATGGAGGATAATCTGAGGAGGAGAGCTTACTGATGTAGATAGTGGTGAGAGCCTCTGGAAGGGCTAGGTCAGGTCCGGGTGAGCAGGAAGGCTCCAGAAGGAGGAGGGACTGTCGAATATGAGAGGAGGTAGGAGCGGAGGCTTGGTGGGTGCAGGTGAGCGGCTGAGAGCGGGCGGCCAGGGGAGGAGACAGCGTGAGATGAAGTGCAGGAATCCGAGCTGGTATTGAGATGGTGGAGTGTGGAGTGAAACCTGGAGCAGAGCAGAAAAGAGAAGTCAGGGTCTTTTCTGGTTGACAGGAAATCCAACATATAATTCTCAAAAATCTTGGTAACAACAGGAACTAGAAAAACACTGGATCAAAAACCGGGTCAGAGGCTAGAGCTACCCAAAGCTGAGCAATCATCCGGCGTGGTGAAGTGTCACACTGCTCCTTAAATCCCCTGGGCCTTGATGACGGGATCAGCTGCAGCTGGTGGCTCTCAGACACACCCACCTGCAACAATACTCAGAGCAAACAGATTACATGCAGGAGGCTCACCACGGACCGTGACAGTTATTTATGCTTTTATCTCCTCCCATCTAGATTACTGTAACACACTCTTCGCGTTTTAATCAAAAAGACTTTGTCCGTTGGTCCGGAACTCTGCAGCGAGGCTCCTAACTGGAGCAAACAGAAGAGCACACATCACTCCTGTTCTAATGTCTCTGCACTGGTTACCCGTTAACTTTAGAGTCCATTTTAGAATCCTGACCATAACCTTCAGGGCTCTACATGGTCAAGCTCCTCCCTATATTACTGAACTGTTAAAGCCTTATGCCCCAACCCGAGCCCTCAGGTCCACACACCAGAACCTTCTAGAAGTTCCAAAGACCAGATATAAAAGTCGAGGCGATTGCTCTTTCAAGTATGTTGCCCCCCGACTCTGGAATTAACTTTCTTTATCCTTATGTAGCATCGACAGTCTGGACACTTAAAAAACAGCTGAAGACGCTTTTATTTTCTTATTTTTAACCCAAATTTGTAATAATCGTACATTTGTTTTATGGTAGTCTATAACTTTTTGACTTTGTTTCAGTCTTTATGATTTTATGACATTATTATCTGTTTGGTTTTGGTCCGTGTGAAGCACCTTGTGATTTTCTGTCTGTGATGAGTGCTCCTGTACTTCTCCAGAGGGTTTAACTTTGCTGCCTGCGACCTTCTCTGGGTCTATTCTTTTCTGAATTTGGCGAAAATCCATCCACTGAGCAGAATGTTCCTCATCACAACCACACACACACACACACACACACACACACACACACACACACACACACACACACACACACACACACACACACGCACACACACACACACACACACACACAGTACTGCAATGCTATCTGTTTGCAAAACACAAACACACACACACACACACACACACACACACGCACACACACACACACACACACAGTACTGCAATGCTATCTGTTTGCAAAACACAAACACAACAATAAAGGACAGGCAAAACAGGTTCTTTAGGCAACACAGCGTTCATTAGCAATATTTTTCTTATTATTTCAACACATGAAGAATGATTCTAATCATTAAATGGAAAATCAAGGAAAATCTAATAAGAGTTTGTAAAAATAAGTCGAGGCTAATTATTTTTGCAGTTTTAGTGGCTGTTTAAAAAAAATCTTTAAAGCCCCTTAAAGCATTTTCTGTACCACACCATACCATGCCAGTTTATTTATAAAGCACATGTAAAAATAGCATGGCAGCTAACCAAAGTGATGTACAAGAGAGCGAAAGACTCAAACACAACAACAAAGACAGCACAGGAGTAAAATATAAAGCTAAAAACATATTACACACATTAAAGCCAGGCATACAATCACATTAAATGTTCCCTTTCATAAAATGTGTCAAAACTACGAGTTAGTAGGAATGTAAAGGTGCAAAGTTCATACATTTTCTATTTTTGTGAAAATGTTCTCTGTGCAGACGTGAAATGTTCATATCTAACCTACATTTGTGTGTTTGTGATAATGTTGCACAGGCCATAAGACTCATCAGGGAATCCGCGGGTCCTTAAAAAGTCTTAAATTTGCTTTTCCAAATTTAAGGCCCTAAAAATCCTTAAAAATGACAAATAATCCATCAATAGTTTCCAAAGGTCTTAAATTACCAAAGACCCAATAAACAAGATATTTTTATTTCTATGAAATTTTCATGAATTTCTAGTGTTCAACATTTTTTTTGTGTATGATGTTGGCAAAAGCGGAACCGTACACATTCAGTTGGTTGTGAAAGGGGGCTATTTTTAGATGAGCACATTAGCTGGTTAAGTTAGTGGGAGCTTGCGCCATGGGTAAGTGCAAGTTTAACAGTAACTGGATGGCTAATCCCACGTTCGCAACGTGGTTAGCACCGGTTCCAGGCAATAGCTGGAAATTATAGCTTAAATTTAATTTAAAAAATAGCTTAAATTTGGTCAAAGTGGCCTTAAAAATGGTCTTTAAAAGTCAAATTTGGCTCCCTTAAACCTGCAGATACCCTGCTCATACAGTAGCTGCAGAAAAGAACCCCCCCACCCCTTTCCTGAAAGCCTTTATACTTGGTGTTGAGCTACTGCTGCCATAAATACTCCACTACATTAAAAGCCAACACAGAACAATTTAGATTAATCTAAGCTACCTCAGCAGGATGCAATATAAGAAAATAAATAGTCAAGCTTGTAGCTTTTTCTCCACTGGAAGACTAAACTAATATTAGAATAATAAGAAACCAGAGTTTCACCCCCCAAAGCTACAGGCTTTTGAAATGATGTGAAATTAAACTTTAAACAGCATTTTTAATGCTTGGAGTCCAGCTCTTTGGACCTCATGAAGCCACGTAATTGGGAAAGGCAACGCACGGGGGATTTTCATTTATTTTCCTCCCTACACAAGTGGAGTGTGTTGATATGTGCAGACTGTACTTGACCACATCACTACTTTAAATGGGAAGCAAATCCCCCTGTAGCAGGCTAATTACCCCCAGCGACTGGAATCGCCTGTGCGGCTGCGACTTTAAATGAAACCAATTTTACACGTTCAAATCACCGCACATCCACTGAGCGCTTGTGCACGTCACATTGTTTTTCAATTTTCCAATTATGTTAACATCCATGTTCGCTAATAACATGGAAAAGCTGAGTCCTTTTATGACAGCCAATCAGCTTATCTGAGTGGAACGGTAAAAGGATCATTTTGAGTTCATTCCAGAGTAGAGTAAAATCATGCATGCAGGGGCTGCACAGTGGCGCAGTGGTTAGAGCTGTTGCCTTGCAGCAAGAAGGTCCTGGTTTCGCTTCCTGGCCTGGGATCTTTCTGCAAGGAGTTTGCATGTTCTCCCTGTGCATGCGTGGGTTCTCTCCGGGTACTCCGGCTTCTTCCCACAGTCCAAAAACATGACTGTTAGGTTGATTGGTCTGTCTAAATTGTCCTTAGGAGTGAGTGTGTGTGCATGGTTGTTTGTCCTGTGTGTCTCTGTGTTGCCCTGCGATGGACTGGCTCTCTGTTCAGGGTGTGCACCGCCTGATTGCCCATTGACCGCTGGAGATAGGCACCAGCCCCCCCGCAACCCTACGTAGACAAAGTGGGTTCAGATAATGGATGGATCATGCGTGCAGACTCAGGCCCTGTCCACACGTAGCCGGGGATCTGCCAAAACGTAGATATTTTTCTACGTTTTGGCCTGTCATCCACACGAAAACGGAGTTTTTTCACACGAAAACGGATCTTTTTAAAAACTCCGGCCAAAGTGAAGATCTGCGTTTTCTCCGTTTTGGGTGTCTGCGTGTGGACAGACAAAACCGGAGTTTTAAGGTCCGCAACGTCACTTTCCGTGACAAAAAAATGCTGACATCACGTGTGCGACCTGTGTTTACACTAGCCGACAGCACGGATGCCCTCAGAGCTGCGCTCGCTTTATCAATTGTCCAAGCGCTTTTTGCTTGTTTGTTTTTGCAAGCGGAATTACTGCTCTTTGCGGAAGACCACAGACGAAGGACGAGGTTAAGAACGGGGGAAGTACTGCCACCTACAGGTCTGGCATGTCCTTAACAACGTATTTATCTGGGTACGTGTGGACAGTTTTTTTTTTAAACGAGGTGGTGTGGATGCAAGTTTTTGGAGGGGCGGATATTCGTTTTTTTTTAAACCCAGCTACGTGTGGACTAGGCCTCAGAGTCATGGTTTACTGGTGCACGCGATGGCACTGAGCTGTCATCACTTTAATTAGTGCCACCTGCGGATGCCCTGGTGAGACAACTCCACCTGTCTGCTATGAAAACAGAATATGGGGCATCGTGAGACTATTAAAAGAAATTAATTAACTCAACAGGGAACACCTTGGTAGATTGTGCCATTTTTCAGACATACACAGAATAAATATCCGTCTTTGCATTGTTTCATTTCACTGGAGAGCAGGAGAAGACAGAGTGTGATGCTGATTGGGTTGTTTGCTTTGTTTCTACAGTTAGAGGAAGAAAAACACACATTTATCTCTGTTGAAGGAACAGGTTGTGGTGTAAGATGTAGACAGCTGCTGTATGCAGAATAAAGTGAAAGGTTTTGAGGAAAACAGAAAACTGTTTCCAGAACAAGCAAACCAGCCCTGGCCTAGATTCACCTTCACCTCCGCAGTAGCACGTGACTTTAATCTGCAGACAAGGTTACAGGGTTAAATAAATAATTTAAATAAATGCAGTCAAACTTGTATTTAATAATGTGTAACAAAGTTCATAGAGATTTAGACTGGAGCTACAGGTTGACCCGAGAACAAAAATAACAATTATTTCTAAGCTTCTGGTGTTTGGAGAATATTTTTAGGTACGTTTGTTTGAGATGTTTTGAGACTGCATAAAGCGCTTCTTGCTGTAAAAGTTAAGACTCTTCAGAATGATTCAAGAAAAAATACATGCTCTCATTTTGCATTTAATAATGTAGCGTCATGAATGTCCTGTTTTTGACCTAAAGGTCATGATCTGCTGCGTCTGCTCGAGCAGACATAAAGTCTCTGACAGCCTAATCTACATGAGATAGTGGCCAAGGTCTTTCATGCACTCTGCTCATCTGAACTGCTTCACCTCTGTTACAGTGAAGAAGAAGAACTATTTTGATGAACACATAATCAACAACTTTGTTATTACCAATAATAATGTGAGCCCAATGTTCAATCAATCTGTGAAATGACAATGTTATTACTTGATATTATAATCCTGTGATCAGTAGTATTTTACAAGTTATTGTAATCCTGGACATTTGCACTAGACACGTGATGTCATAGAGTAATGTTAAAGTCACATGACACATTTCCTTTTGTCTGATCCAATCAGAACCTTTGTTTCTGGCGTGAGGCGCGGTTTTCTGTGGTGTTTGTATAAACCCTCTTTTGCATGTCAAATTCTGATTCGCCAGTAAACCAAAATTTGACAATTATAAAAATTATTCCACGCCACCTTTTCTTTAGTTCAAGCGTTCTAGAAAAGTCTTGGACAGGCCATCCGGACTTCCTCTTCAGCCAAAAGAACCTCGACAAGCTGGATAACATCTGTTGCAAGTGACACCTGATCGCAACGGTTCCTTCAGAATAAAAGCTGAACCTCACGATCCCTTCAGGGTC